CCACTGCATATTGCAGACTACTTCAACACTCTTGAAATCATATCTTGTCATTACACTCGCTTTCACCTCATCACCACTTATCACCCTGGTCTCAGTCCACACCCGTCTCAGGTGCGAGCATCTACAATCGTGAAGGCACTGAGGTCAAGGTCACCCAACTTGGTGCAAATGAGTGAGAACCAAGACCACCCGGAAACGCCTAGCGACCACATTAATAAGATTAAGTCCTCATTTTTGTAGTGTTTTGTCTCCTCATATTTTCTATCAAAGTCCCCATGGTGTCTGTCCTCTTAAGCAAAAACACCAGCTGGACCGGCATATGACTAGTTCATTTTCAAGGTCAAATTGTGGAATGGTGAAGGTTCAAAGCAGGACTCGGCAAACGGCAACGAATGGGTGATGCTCGAGATAGCCTTAAAAAGCTCATGAGACAGACAAATGGAGAGGGGTAGTCTTTAACACAGGCAAACGGAAGGGCTGGGAAAGTAGCAGCATGACAAAAGCCACACGCCACCAGCATGCCAGATGAGTCACGTACTCTTCTAATAAAACTGACACACACTACTCCGTGAAATCCGGTCTTTTGACTGCCTTCGTCAAAACCCGCCTTCAAATTACCATTGCGCAAGAATGTGTTTCCAGCTGAGGACGCTTCACACACCACATTTGAGCGGTTGGAGCGAACTCAACAACCCCAAAGAAAAGTCGCCAAAACATGCGTTTGGCTTAGCGCAACGCAAATCACCTCTCCGTGAGCATTGTAACATTTTAAATAGGCAATAATAAGAGCCGAAGTAGAAAAGTTTACGGATCGTAATACAATATAATGATAACAATATAATACTGTAAGTAGCACAACGAGAGAGTTAAGTAGGAAAATGAAGGAATCTCTCATATTTGGCCTGTGAGGGGACGATCTAATCCGGAAACTGTCGATATTTGTACTTCAAGTCCTCATCACCCTTCTTCAGCCTGCACTCAACATTCAAGGAGCTTCAAAGGTTGTCAACACGGTTTGTTTATCACAAAGCCTTAAAGTACGAGCAAAAGCAACTCCATGAAGTAGGCACTAGCAGTTTGAAAGCAGTACTAAAAGTATCAACGGGAAAAGTGTGCAACGTACCAATCACTAAGATGGATGGCAAGATCAGCACTGGGCAGACTAACGGTGGAGACAAAACTTGGCGCATCACCACTGCCGGACTGTATGAATGTGCCTTTGATGGAACTGCCACTGAAGAATTTAAGAAACTGTCGAGTTGGGAATGAGGAGAACCACTCGAACCAGTTCACCATCCTCAGCTGTCACCGTGATCATTGTGACCTTGGGAGGAGCCAACCGGGCAAGAGGTTGTCAACTAAAAATATTGCCATCCATCCTCCACAAACGCAGTGATATTCATTACAGGTAGGGAGAAATGAATATTTTTCACCTATTTAAACGTCTACAGATCTTGAAGATGGCGACCATAAAGAAAACATTACTACCGAAAGAGAGGCAGATAGCATTGAAAGTTGTTTAAGAAAGAGGTGAAAAGTGCAATTCTTCATGAGCACATTCAAAAGACACCTTTTAAGCTTTTCGCTAACTAAAGATGGAGAAGCGTTGCGTTGTCAACCGTGCATATCACACCTGTAGAACTGAAGCAATAGTCGAGCAGCATGTTCCCCTATTTATAGGGGTCTATTTTTCTTTCAAATTTCAAGCTTCCAAAATTAAGTAAACCAGAGAGCTTCCAAAAAATTGCAATCTGAGTGAAGGAGTTCACCACGGCTAGCATTAACAAATCCTCCGTTAAGATCAACCAGCCCGTGACTGAGTAATTTGGTAGGATAATAGTGCATTGCTAGACTCAGAAGTTGTCTTCTGCCCTGAATAACAGACTGTCGTAACAATTGAGTTTGTAAATGACTAGTTAAGTTTAAGCCTGCCAAGAAATCATAAAAACCAGTCCTGGTTACAAGGTGCATGGCATGGAGTTACAAGGCATACAAATGCGAGCATGGTAAACACTAAAGAAAATGATCACAAAGGACAGAAAACTGAACAAAAGCGCGATGAAAGCCAGGTTCAAGTAAGAGTACTTTCAAAGCCCTCATAACGTAACCTTGACTCCTGTTCCCAACACAACCGTAGCTCAATTCAGGTGGGTGACCTGACCTTGTGTGAGAAGTGTGCGGTGGGGAAAGGCCATGGAAATGGCTCAGTTGAAGGATCAGCCCAACGCAATCCATCGTCTTCTCATCTTCTATCTAGACGTCCACTTGACTCATTTGATCTCTCCTGTGAAGCAGGACTTCCCCAGTTAAAAGGAAATGCATTTTGATAGAGTTCTTGGTGCTTCAGTTTCCTCTCAGCTTTCAGCAATCGCACGATGTCCCTCTTCGTTTGGATTGTTAATGCGCAACAATGTCTCCTCGCCTCTTATTTCTGCATTTGATTTTACCAAATTGCAGGTGAACCTAAAATCCACCAGTTGACTGAAGCAGTTCGTGCAGTTATTGGTGGAACTCGTTGTAGGTACGTGTTGGGGCTTGTAAAACGTACGCGTCAGTAGCAATGTGATATTCTCTAGTGTTCTCGGATTAAGCTGCCATGATTATTAGTTGAAATTGGTGTGGTTTGAGCTTGTCTACTTGACGAAGGAGGCGCACCTCTGTTCTAGGGCCGAAGTAGAATGCTGACTTTCGTCAAGCTTGTATGTAGCATTTGGAAATGGTGCAGTGGGCAGTAGTAAAACGTATTGCTTGTTAATGAATAGTTGGAACAGTTTGTGGTGATGTTGAGTGGCTTGAATGACGTCACTTGAAGTAAGGCCTTCGGTTTTGAATAAGAGAGAATTGCAGGTCTTTTGGTTAAGGCCACTAAAGATGACAGTGTCACGAGCAACCAGCAGCGGTGTTTAATGTGAGTGATAATGCATCAATTGCTTCACTCTTACATTGCCTTTGAAGGAGCTATATTGGTGGAGGGTGAGCACATGAGTGCCTCCCAGATGCCATGGGTCGACGGGTGGCAGGGATTCAGTTTGGCAGTCGATGAATTTGTTTTGCTTTTAACTTCCTCCATGTGTGCTATGAGTTGTCGTGCGTGTAGTGATTTGCTGACTGACTGACTGACTGACTAAGAGAATAACCTTTTCGCTGTTGCGCCCTGTCCATTGTTGTGAAAGTGGCGTGAACTTACTTCAGTATCTCATAATTGCTGCGGTAATAGTGGTCAGTTGTGGAATGACAGTGGCGTAAATGATGGTGCCTGATGAGGTAGCTGTTTAACTGTGGAACGGCGAAAGTCCTAAGTGACTCCTTTTTTCAAGCTGACACACGATTGACAATCGACTTTAGAACAATAATTGCCTCGAATTTCTGTCTCCATTTTCATGACACTCATCTGAGGGTACTTAGGCACCAATTCAATGAAGACTTTGCATAAATGGAAGCTGCCCGTGAGGTAAGTTTACCTATATCTGTCAGGTGTCACCACTCCATTACGCGTCAAGCAACTTTTTTAAGGTTTTGTAGTTGAGACCAATTCTATTAAGCCTTGTGGAAGTGCTCATTGGGCGCATCTATGTCTGTTGATAAGTTTGTATGGTTGCTTAAATGTACACTCCCCCTTCACTTCGTCAAGGTAACAGCCGAAGTGGTGGGCATTCTTGAAGCCTAATTGGATCATTTTGGTGCATGGGGATAAAGCACGCAAGCACCTAATTTATGCAGCATAATGTAACTTTCTCTCCAGTTCTGTTGCCTCGCTACTATGTCATTTGGTATGGTTGAATGCTGAAATGGGAGCGCCATGTGATCGCGCTGTCGATGTAGACGGATTCGGTTCTGGTGCGTCCGCTTTTGATGTAGACCGGAACCGTCACCTTTGGAATGGATCTTCTTGGGTACATTTGTGATGCTGGGGCCTGTCTGTCCTATTGTTTCCTCGAAAGCCTTTTTGGAATTAACCATGTCGCAGAGCTTGCCATGATGGACATGCCATTTTTGAAGGATCTCCATGGGTTTGTCCATTCTCAATTCATCTTTCCAATCTAAATGGACTTTCGCCGCCTAACTGGTGTTTGAAACAGTCAGTTTTATTCACTAAGGAAGCCATGTCTGAGATTGGCTTCAATTCTATAAAATATGATGTGACAGAAACGATCCTTCCATTAACAAAAAAACCAAAAAACCCAATCCTTTGGTTTGATTAGTCATCTGTCTATCTATCCATCCCGTTTTCATCCATCCACCAATTCATCTGCCTATTTATTGGCCTTTTCACTTTTGTTATCCTTCTTCATTCCTAAAGGTGTTTGAAGGCAAACAAATGTGGATGTAGGACTGGGATAGACGTAGAGTTGCCAGAAGAATGGAAGCATGAGATTTGCAGGCGTCTTTTCTACCTCACAGCATGCCACATCAACAGCAGCTGCAGCGGAGATGCAGACGTCTTTACCGACACTGAGTGTCACCACAGGACCACGAAACGGCAGTGGCTGACGGCGTGGCACGTTAAGGGGAAGTGGCACCTGCTCAGGCAGCACTGTGGGCTACGTATGAGCAGGTGTCGTAAGAGCTAAAGGCAGTTTTCTGAAAGTGTGCTGACTCCATTACTGCTATCCAGGCTGCAACGGCGTCCGAGGAGGTTAGGTACGTGGAAATGGAGCAGAATCTTGACGGGGTGAGGTCAGCGTCTCGGAGTGGGAAGCCAAGGTGACTGTTGCCCGTATAATCTGCCACCATCTCTTGTCTCTCTAGTTGTGTCTACCTTTTTCGCCCTCCTCTCCGTCTATTCATCACACGAACTACTCAGCTATCCTGCAACCATCCGTGTCGTATCCATTCATTCCTTGGCCATCCCACTGTGTTTCCATTTGTGCTCTCTCTGTATTTGCCTCGTCTATGTATTATTTGTTTGTGCATTAATGACTGCTTCAATTAGCAATGCAGAAGTTCTCTTATTTCGTCTACATGGTAACACATTGATCATTATGACCCGTGTAGTTGGTGGATTTTGTTGTAAATTTGCCAAACAATACCCGTGGTGGATGAGTGGTGTGTTTTGAGATAGCTCAAGTTAAGATTGCTTGTATGGTTGATTCATTTGCGATTAAAGGTTAAAACGTGTGCGTGTATGGAATTTTCATTGATCAGGCAGATAATCGGAGTTCGTAGGTGTTAATTTTCTGAATCAGTTGGGGGACGATATGTCATAGACGATCTGAGAAGATGCTATGGATCCGGTCGATTGCGGTTGGGTTGCCGAGTCCTTTGGAGGTGCCAATGGGTTTGTCCCACTTGCAGATCTCGCCAGACGAAAATACTAAGCGTGCATCCAGCCTGTCAGCAAAGGTGGAAGAGTCGATTGGGAATCTACTGCGTCTTCTGAATGGGCTCATCGGTGAACATGTTGTAAGCAGAGAGGGGCAAAGCCATTGAAAAATTGGTTTCCTTGATGTACGCAACATTTGTGCTCCCTTTCTAATGGTAGGCATACAAACTGGCAATGGAAGTGGTGATGCAGAAAGCTTCGACTCTTCTTAAAGTGACCAAATCGAAGCTTGCTCATGGTAAAGTGC